CATTATTACCAAAATAGTTTTAATAAGCAAACCAGCGACTCCCGAAAGACCTGGCAGACTATAAACGAGCTAACTTCTCGAAAATCTGGGAAAACGCCAGTGGCGTCACTAAAAGTGAACGGATTAACGATAACTAATCCGTTGGAGCTATCAAACGAATTCAATAACCACTTTGCTAATATTGGTCCAAAACTTGCCAGTGAGATAAATTGTGATAGTGGTAGCTATCAAAGATATCTTACCGCAACAGATAAACGGTTTAAGCTCCAACCCACCAATCCAACTAAAGTATTTTCACTTTTAAATAAACTAGACAAGTCAAAGGCAACAGGCCTTGACAAAATATCTGCTAGGCTTATCAGGGAATGTGCTGATCTCATTTGTGTGCCGATATGTGATATTTTCAATCAATCTATTAGCCAAGGGACGTTCCCAGACGACTGGAAATATGCAAGGATTACCCCTCTTTATAAACAGGGTGACCGCGGTGATGCTAACAATTACCGCCCAATATCGGTGATTCCAATAATGGCGAAGGTGTTTGAAAGGATAGTTTATGAACAGTTATATGCCTATTTGGAAGAGCACGATATTTTATGTCAAAACCAATCAGGGTTTCGTGCTAATCATTCAACTGTAACAGCTTTGTTGGAAGCGACAGATTCTTGGGCATATAATATTGATAACGAGAAAATCAATGGAGTCATTTTTCTAGATTTGAAAAAAGCTTTTGACACTGTTGATCATCAGATCCTTCTATCGAAACTAAACTATTATGGTATACATGGAAAATCTTTCAGATGGTTTCAGTCATATTTGGAAAACCGAACACAAAAATGCTCTGTCAACGGGTCGCTATCCAGTAGCTACTCGTTGACTTGCGGCGTCCCTCAAGGGACCATCCTCGGTCCATTATTGTTCTTATTATATATCAACGATCTTCCAAATTGCTTATCAAATTGTAAACCGAGAATGTATGCCGATGACACGCACCTCACATATGCGGGAAGCAATCTTGAGAACGTTCAGTTTTGTCTAAATGAAGACCTAGAAAACGTCTTCAACTGGCTACAAGCGAACAAACTCACGTTGAACATGACTAAAACCGAATTCATGCTAATAGGGTCGAGGCAGAGACTGAATACTCTCACAGCTTTACCAACAATTAGAATGAACAATACTCAAGTGAGCCAGGTTACAGCTACAAAATCGCTTGGTGTAATAATAGACGATAAACTCGATTGGCGTAGTCACATGGAAAAGCTAAGGAAAAAGACCGCCTCTGGTATCGGGGCCCTAAAGCGAATTAGGCACCTGATCCCAGCATCAACCTTACATCTCATCTACCAAGCTTTAGTAAAACCTCACTTTGATTACTGTGACATTGTTTGGGGTAGCTGTGGGAAAACGCTACGAGACAAACTGCAGAAATTGCAGAGTTAGAGCAGCCCGTGTGTTGACATTCTCTAACTATGATGCTAATGCAACTGAGCTACTCGAGTTTTTAGGGTGGAAAAATCTTACACGCCAGCAGCAAATCCATAAAGCCACCATGATGTTTAAATGTCTGCACGCGCTAGCTCCAGGGTATCTATATTCAAAGTTTACGTGGTGTGACTCTGCTTATGACCTCAGGGAATCTGAACATAAGCTCAATGTTCCACTACCGCACACTAATAATTACAGAAAAAGTTCTAGCTACAATGGCGCCACATTATGGAACAGTCTACCACGCGATATAAGGAACACAGTCTCTGGGGTTATTTAAACGTAAGATCAATGACATTCTCACGGAAAACAGCTTTAGTGTTATGGTATGTAGTTTGAATTTTAAATACCTTAGAGTATGTGATATGTATTTTTATGGGCTGATGAATTGATCGTGTTTAAATAAAGATTACATTACATTACGTTGCATTGCATTATAGCTATGACCCAACTAAATGAACGCCTGAAACTGAGGCTAGGAGTAAGGTCGATAAGTTGTCCCCTCTAGCCCAGGCATTCAATCAATTGACATGGAAAGGCATGTGACGGGGATAAACGTACTTATTATATTCATATAAAGCTGGTAATAAGTGGTAATGGTAATGCCAAGATTGCACTGGCTGTGCAACTCACTCGAAAGAAACTCTTTTTAAAATAATCGTATTAAAGATTGTAATGATGCGTACTGTCTCTGCTCCACTGTTTACTTCTAGAACGATCAGAAACGTTCTCACTGTCTTAAATTGCTCCCATACATCCTCCATGGAAAAAAATTCCTGACTTAACGAATATTAACTTAACTTACAATGATATATCTTAATGTCTGAAAAAGGAAAACGCAATTGTACACGAGACTGACTCTTAATTGTTTGGCTGAGCCATACTATGAAGGGCATATATAATTTCTCTAATGCACAAATTCAGGCGGCGTGAATTTTTTAATAATTATTGTTTTTATTTCTTAAATTTCTGTTCTAGTCTATTTATGTATTTAATTATTGTTTTAATTTTTTTTTAATTTGTTTTTTTCTTAGACTCCGCACTCCTCGTTTTCGGAACAGCCTGCGCAATGTTGTTGATTATGGTGAATTGTTCGAATTTTTCGAAGTAGCACTCTCAATTTTCTTTGTTTGGATCAAAATTATCCAGTTGAACAACAGTCGTGGTCCTTTGTGCAGGAATTTGTGGTTTAGATCCACGAGGTTGATCGGATTCTGGCATTTTCCTGTATCGGTCGAAGAGCACGTGGTTGTAATGTAAACGGCGACTGAATTATTTTACGAGTGATTTGACCGGATTCCGTAGATATTTGGACGACTTGATCAGAAAAGTTACTTCCTATTTCCGAAGGAATGAATTTTAAAAACCAATTTAGGCATTTGGGCATCAAAATCCTCGTCGCCAATTATGTTATGTATTGAGACACAACATTCTTGTTCGGTGGTTGAACTTAATCATAATTTATTACCCATGAATCCCATGATTCATCACGTCAGGCAGAAGTTGTCATGAAAATCATTTGGATCTAGATAATTGGTGTTATATCGTGACCTTGTTTAGTTATACTTGTGTTACATTATATTAAGTTACGTCATAGTTGTGTTACGTGTACATGGATGCGCCTGCGCCGGAAAGAATAGGAATAAAGGGAATCTTGGAAAGTTCATGTTCATTGCTTGGTTTGTTTTATAATTTCGTCCTTGAATTTCCTAAGATACAACAATAAGGTATCAGAAGGATGTGATTAAAATTTTGACCCCGTTTCAGTGTCTCCTTATGTAAGCAACAACCTTCTCTGAGATGTGGTATAGACTTGGCTATTGGTAACGATAATCCTCTGCTCCACATATTATAAATACCTCCTTCAACTTTTTTACTCAAAATAGATAAACAATGCAAAAAACAAACCAAGCAAAGGAAAAATAAAAACAACTGACAAGTGAAATCACATAATTTTCTTGCAATTGAAGAATCCCATTCTACAATTTGCTCCCTCACATGTTAAGAACCATGTTTCTGCTGTAGATTTGATAACTTGCAAGATAATGAGAGATAGTCAAAAGTCTGTAGATATGTCTTAATATATGTCATGACCATGAGTGCAGATGCACAAACATGATGATTAATTAGTTAATGTGTATTTCTTGTTAATAGTCGTACCTGCCCAGTGGGCAGACACCCACTATTTAGCCCGGCTCCTGAGTGAAAGTTTTTGCATCAGACGATGCTGACAGTCAGCTGGACAAGGCTCCGTGTCAATCAGAGGAAAGCATGGAGAAAGGCTTTGAAATTGTAATGTCAGAGTATTCTTTTGTCTCTCATAATTTCTGACCAAATTTGTACATTGTTTGACTAATGCCATGACTTTCCTATATTTTACATCGCAAAAAAAAAAAAATGGCTTTTGGTTAGGTTTTGGTAGGATACATGTCCTTTGAATACTAAATGTCTCTGACAAGGACATAATTTTGTCCTGCTGTGAAGAAAGTTGAGAACATGTTCTTACAAATAATAAAAAAAAAAGGCCTCATGCTTATTAACAGTGCTTTTGTTGAAATTTTTTGAGCTTGTTGCTTGAAATTTTTATTTACATAATTTTGAAGAATTCAGTTGTATTTTGAGATATATTTTGATAAATTTTGCATCTGTTAAATTTTGTATCTGTTGAATTCAATAGAAATATCAATAATCAAGTTGTTCTGGATTTTTTATATGTAGAGTGGATTAGTTATTGTTTTCTGCTTCTCTAGTTTAAAGTGTGATTGTGCAGTCTTCAAGTTTTTTTGTCTACACCATAGACCACTTTCATAAATGGCTGCCGGATTAATATTCTTTTGTTAAATTTAAATTAGCCCTTCTGGCCTTGCTTGAGATAATGTATTCTTTTGAATTTTGTACTGGAGAACGAGGTCAGAAGGGCTAATTTATTGAACTTCATATATCCATTGTAACCAAAAGAATATTAATTCGGCAGCCATTTATGAAAGTGGTACCGGTCTATGTTGTCGTCACGTATAATGACCTATAATGTAACCACCCCCAGGTACACCTCCACACCCCCCTTACCCCACCCCCTCATGATTTTATCGTTTCAGTGGTAAAGCTTTTCTCGAAAGTTATCGAGTCCACCAAAACTGGGTTTACGGAAAGAAAAGAAAAAACGAAAGAGAAAACCTACCCTTCAAGTTTCCTTGTAATTTCCTCAGTAGATTTCTTCGTTGTGCTTTAGACAAAGTTTTCGTTGCGTCATATCGTACCCAGTCCTTACGCAGTTTAGGCAGTAGCTAAGTTTCGCTTCTGACGACACCGCGGAAATACGTTTTTTAGGGCACGATACAGTGTCTTACTGGTCAGCGGACACCTCAACGAAACTTAAAATGCCTATAACTTTTACAATGTTTTTCGCTGTGAGTCAAATCGACAGCGTAAAGAGGCAAAACTTAGAAAGAATACTGTAAACTTAGCCTTGAAACTCGGCTCACCTTTTGGATAGTTCTTAAGCTCCATTATATAATTTGCCAAAGCCGAACTGAAGTTGCACACGATATGAAATTGTTGTTTTTCGCTGGCGGCTCCGTGGCAACTAAGTTTTGTTTATAAAAAAGCTTATGCACTAAGCCTAAAAATGAGACGGTTTTTGAATGGCTGAAGCGGTGATCTGAGGACGCTGCACTGTCAGGTTTGTAAAGCAGTGTCTTGAACCGTATAAATCGGCATGTCAACGGCATTTCGGTCAGATTCGCCTAGAAGAAGACAAAACATGTCCGTCTAGCACGGCCACCCTATCCCCACCCGTTATTGTATGTATTATAGTTGGCCAAAAACCCAACGACTGTAACATGTATACGACTGAAGCCCTCAAAAGTACAAAAACTGGCTCAACTAGAGGAAGAATAAACCCAAGTTTGTTTTAAGTACAAAATGTCCATTTTAATGATAATAAATTAAGTTTTCACTTTCCACCTTTGTAATTTTTTTTCTCAGCATTAATTTTACTTTCTCAACAAGTGTTGTTTCCCATCAGTTCTTAATAATTTGTAGTTTGCCTTTTTTTATGCTACTCTTCCCTCACTAATCATTTTATTTTAATTATTTATTTTTGCTCTTTCTTTTCTTTCTTTACTAACTTATTGCCATCTGTAACATAAAATGTACTGAGCTAATAGAATACTTCTGGTTTATTTAGCTCCCTGATTCACAAAGTAACTTTACCATCTTGGTACTACTATAAAACAAATTTTTAAAAAACAAAGTACTGTAAGGTAAAAAAATTATAATTTATAATATAATTTAATCGATTTATGTGAATAATTAAAGCACTGTATTGTCTTTTCTCGTATTGCAACAGCCTTGAATGAATCAA